ACAGAGAACATCACATGATGCAGATATTTTTAAGCCAATGAGGCGCTTTGCTTCCTGTCAACTAAATGAAGAACAAAGACTGCAGAGCTGCAGCTGCTTGGACCCTCATCATTGCTGCTCGCTGATATTCTAGTTTCAAGCTGATTTTTACACTGAAGATGCAGCATTGGGCTTTCCTGTTCTTACCAGTACGACTGCATGGTAGGCTTGCTGTAGCTCTTCGACGCTCACATCCTTCCCCACGTTTACATTACCATAGAAGCTACAGCGGGAGTGTTTGGCCGTCTGTGTGAAGGTGTTGATAACGTTCTGAGGGGGGGGATAAAAAAAAAAAATAAAATAAATCAGAATTATGAGAACTGAGAGGAAAGAATTTCAGAATTCCTGTAAAGGAGATTAACCTCTCACCATGGTTAATGTATTTCACAATAGTACAGGCACCAGCTTGTTGTGGGAGCACTTTTGAAGATTAGTCATTGCACATTGGTAGGGGTTTTAAAAGTCTTACACAGTTGGCCTTTCACAGAGGAAAATAGGACAAATAAACCAACTGGAAATATGGGAGGGGCCACACAAACTATGAGCAATTCCTGTTTGTAGTGTATCCATGGGATGTGCAGTCCCCTGACCCTTAAGTACTTTGATACTGAAGGAAACTTAAAAACATGGTGAGGCAAATTCTAGACATAAAATTGAATCCTTGGGGTTGCAGATATAGTCTAGCAGGTATGTTATGTGCCCCATGTACAGAGGCTGTAGTCCTCGCCACAGCACGTCTTGGGTCCAAATCCGTCCTCTTCAGCTGTCCAATACAATAAAGGCAATAAAAATGTCTCTAAATTGCATCCTGATGTGTAAGAGATTGTATAGAGTTAATTCTATAATAATAATAGACTTTATTTGGCATGGCCATCACAGATACATTGGACAAACCAGATGCATTGTTTAAGTGTTTTAGCAAGCATGCTAGTTCTCAACACCTCCAAAGGTTTGAAATCCAACTTTTTTTGGTTGCAACTTCTAATTGGATTGAGAACTAATACAAGCATGTATCACTAAGTGTAATGAGTTTATCTTCCTTTTAGGTCACACTGCACGCCATCAAATCACAAAGCCTGCAGCCTGAAAGTGGGGAATGGCTATTTCAAAAACCTGCTGACAGGCTTTTTCTTAATTCAAGCTTGAATTATTAAAATACCCAAACAGCATAGCATGACCATCCTTTCTCACAGACACATATTTAGCATTACACACCTTGACCTCGGGATGATCAGGGGCCACTCCAAACCTGACCAGGCCGAAGGGGACTGGCAGCCGCTCATAGACGTCCACCTCAAGATCTTGACGGGCCTAGGAACAGGAAAAGGAAAGAGACACAATGTGAAAAAGGAAATTACATTTAATACAGTAGAATAGAAGCTTTTAGAAGTATGCAGTCGCTGGGGAAAGGTCTCCCTATGGTGGGAGTTGTTTTTAGCTTTTTTTATAGAACTCAGTGGATGGCAGTGGTCTGAAAATTGTTCCAACTTTGGGATTCTTAGTGAAATACTGAGATTAAGCATGAGGATGAATGAGAATGACTTTTCTTTGGCTTTTGATGGGTGGAAAATATTTGCCCAATACTTTCTGGTTTCTGACAATACTTGACAAACTAAAAAATGTTTCTATTAGCATTACATGTGTTTTATATGTATAGCTAATGGGCTGCTGTCTGAGAGGGACTTTCCTTCAGCCAAGTCCAAACAACTTGTTATTTTAAGTCACATCGTTTTACCAGTAGCCAGCCGACTCCAGTGAAAAGGAAAAGAGGAACTCAACACATGTACAATGAGCATAAACTTATAAAAAAACATCAGAAAAGGAATGTTAAACTATTGAGAGGTTTTTTTAAGAATTCATGGTGGTTAATCCTGGAAAGTTGAACAAGTAAATTTCCAAACAACAAAATTACAACAATAAAGAACAATCATGTATGAGTTAAGAGATTCACAATGAGACTGGAATGAACTTAAGTTATGATAACTGCTACGTGAAGCATAATAAAACTCATTCTCTCCTTCACCATAACTCACACCATTTATAGCATGGCCATAAAAATAATAAAGATAAAATAACTCCAGCTAAATTGTAGGCAATGACTAGGCATGTATTGCTTCATCATAATAAACCTTTTACGGTTTTGTATCAAACTGTATTTTAAGATATATTTGTGATCTGACAGGTGGGTCAGAAATACGATCTTTGTAGAAACTTTCAGTATTTCCTGTTCCTATTATCACAGGCCTGTGGGGGTTTTAGGTAACATCATTTATTTATAAAGCATCTACTTCAGCACAAAAGGTGAAATCAGTTTATGTTTGAAAGGAGAGGAAGAAGGGAGGGGCAGTGTGGTAGTTTGTCCAAGGTGTGTCTTTAAGCCCGATATAAAACAGCCATTGTTAAACACCTTTAGTGAGAACATGTTTTAAAAATGTTGGCAGGAACATTTTCATTTTAGTAAAGCTGAAACTTCTTCAACTGAACAGCCTTAAAATATCAAATAAACTAAAAACATGCACTGTGTATTGTTAAATACTGGGACTGGGAGTGTTCAGTCATAAAAGTAATGAAGCTCATTTCAGCAGATAAGACTGCTGAGCACTGTTTTTTTTTTTCTTTTTCGATAGAGCAAAATGAAAAACAAAAAAGAAAGAAATCAAAACAAGACAAAACTGTAAAAAAAAAATATATGTGAAGGTTTGCTGTCCAATCAGCTTCGGCCTCTCCATCGATTACAGGAGAGGGGTCGTGTAGGTTTGGCTAAAGCAGCAGATATGTCATTGACTTTGTTATGATAAAGTTGTGTTTAAACAAAAAAAGAATCGTTTATTTAAAACGATGGTCTTTAGGTGAGATGTATAGTGAAATCACAGCCATGTGTAAAATCATTCTTAAAATGTAAGTTTGCACATGACTGCAACAATGTTTGTTGGTTGACATCACCTGTGTGTCTGTTTAATACTTTTTGTTTGCCCACTCAGTGGAGATGACTTGTCTTCTGCTTCTCGCCTTTCTTCATTATTAAAACAATGTTGTGGTTTTTAGGATGCTCTGTCCTTTAGTTTTGTTCTAACGCCAGTGTGTTCGTATTGATGATTTAACCATCTCCAAGGACAGTGGGGGTCCCCAGTCTCTAGTAGGCTCCCTGTATTTTGAGGGTCGCCGGCCAAAACGATTGGGAACCCCTTACTAATGTCAAAGTAGGACATACCTTGATCAAATGCTGGGCTGTGTAGAATCCAGCTGGACCTCCTCCAACAATGCACACCTTAGGACTGCAAGAGGAAAAAGATGCCGCCTTTCCTCTCCTATTCACACCTGCAGAAACAGCAGAAAATTCACCTTGGACTGAAATATGTTTATCAGGCACTCCCAAGGTAAGCTCATGGGCAACATGCAGGGAAAGTGCTGAACAAAAGAGTTTGTTAGATGACATTTAACAGAGATTAGTGCTGGTTGCTACACTGGGTATGTGCCGAATTGCAGAGTGAATTCCCTTTATTAAAAGGTTTCTGATAAATTCAAACAATTTGTTACAAAAGCAACTGAATCAGCTTTTAGTGACTCAATGTTGTGCTGCTTTGGCTGCAATGCAGGAGAATGAACGCTGCAGACACAGGGGCTAACTTATCACTATAATAAATGCAGAAGAGTTCAAAGATATCCTCACCATCATGATGTCGACCTGTCCATCTACATGATGCAGAAGTCCACAGCTTCAGTCCAGAAAACAGAAGTTTATGGCCGCTCATCTTCTTCCCTGACTACAGGCTGTCAACCACGAAATACACTGTGTTTGTTCCCCCTGGCTCCAGACAACATGTGTGCCTTTAAAACCAACAATAGGACATTCACTGTGTTCTTTTCGTGGTATTTAGTGAGCTGTTTCGCATTGCTGCCACTGCTTTGAGCTGTGGACAGTCAGCAGGACTGAGAGCAAAAGCCAAGGAAAACAACGTTTGTATTTCCTGGATATTATTCAGAGACAGGCTCACCTAGCTACCTGATGCTAACACTTAGACCTTTTTTTTTTTTTTTGCGTACTGAAACGATTTGTTTTGTTTGTTTTTGCCAATAATAACTTTATAATGTAGTTATTTTGTTTTATCATTGCAACATATTTCAAAGCTGCACCTTGTGTTACACCCACAACTGTCCGTAGAGGCACGACAATCCGCTGCACAGGGTTCCGCAGGAGCAGTGTATATAAACTAAACTAATGTTTAGAGCAGGGGTTCCCAAACTTTTCAGCTTGCGACCCCCATTATGACGGTGATAGATACTTGGGACCCCACATTTGACGCACTAGGTCAAAACACTGGCATTAAAACAGCAAACAATAGCCCAAACACCATCATATTATTTTTGTAATTTATTGTAAGAAACGACTTTTTTTTTGCCTACTGTATTTTCAAATTAATGGGTGAAATATCCAATTTTAAACCATTTTCCATTTTTATATGTTTTTGAAAGGAATGTCACGACCCCCCCTTACAGTGTTCCACGACCCCCAGTGGGCCGCGACCCCCACTTTGGGAACCACTGGTTTAGAGTACTTTTAGCAGTGATTTATTCCTAAATTTGGTTTTTATTGTTGTTTTTTTTGTCTTTCTGGGGGCGAGAACAGCACTTCATATTTTTGCATATGTATGCAGATAAGGAAAATTACAAATAAACAGAATATTCAATCTTGAATCAGCACTATTCCTCTGTAGTAATTACTAAATCAGGGCAGATTGCATTAACAAATGGGTATCCTTTTAGGTTTTTCAATTAATTAAATTGTTTCATGATAATCTATCATATTTGATCACAAGTATTTCTTCACTGAAGTTTCTCTCTAAGGTTAAAATAAAAGTAAAGAAACAGGTCCTAATTGTGCAATACTAGTATATAATGGGAATTCTTCATCCTGTATAAGGATGCAGTGGTGACAGTATTAAAACACAAGGAGACAATAGTGAAATTGTAAAAAGCTTACATTTAATGTTCACATCAAATCAGGCACACTTGTTCAAAAATATAAAACTCTTTATATGACCTACAAAGAAAACACATATACCAGCAAATGCCACAGTATAGCTTATGTAATGTAACAGTTGAAGTAGAATAACAAAGCTCTGCTTTTTTTTTTCTTCTCGCTTACACTGTTTACATGCATCACACATCTGTATCAGCCAGGATGTGGTAGCTCGATCATTTTTGTGCAAACAAACATACATTTTTACATGACAGGAAATGAAAAGCAAGGCAAAATGCGAGACATTTTTTCTGTGCTGAGAACATATGGTGAGCTTCTGACTCAAAACATACACTCTATTACAAATCCTCTGAGCCATGAACTTTTCTCAAATTATTCATCTCATGGCTTTACCATGGCATCCGTTCTTAGGATCACAGGAGGCCCCTGTGTTCCATAGAGCATAACGATGTGGTCAGGTATGGACGATGTTGAAATGTCTGCTGAGGAGAAACAGGCTGAGGCCTGGTAGGTCTGGCTGGTATTTCGACTTTGGCGGGTCTAAAATGTGCTTTGAACTGTAGAAGCACAAAAGAAAACATTTATTGTTACAGAATTGCCTTTGCATGAGTATGAGAGTATGTCCTTCTGCTTACAGTGATACTTACTTGATTGCATCTCACTATGAGTGCTCCAATGATGGATACAAATATGACAGTGAATGCTGTAACACTCGAGACGATCAAGATGTGTTTCAAAATGTGATTCTTGCATTGTTCCTTGGGATCTTTTTCTGTAATTAAAAGTTAAAAAGTTAAACAAAGGGATAGAAGTACATTTAAATGAACTGACAGTGAATCTGCATGTTTGAACACGATTGGTTCTCACCAACCTCTTAGAATGATAATGGTGCCTTTTCCAGGTGTGTAATTGTAGTTGGTGTTATGTAGCTCCAGCTGCAGAAGTAGACATCCGTGTCCTTCTCTCCCAGCAGAGAGAATTGCAAGGTGAACCCCTGGCCATCACTGATATTGACTGGAGATACACGAAGTCGCTGCTTAAATTCTGAAGCTATAGTCGTCTTGGCGACTGCTCCATTCACCAAGTACAGGTATACAATCTGCCTGTTGCCATTGAAGAACCTGTGCAAGGTGAACCCCTGTGCACCAAGCAGTGATGTGGAGCATGTGATCTCAGCAGATGAGTTACCTCTCATTAGAGAGATGGACGGGGCTCTTGAGAAACTGCCAGGAAGAGATGAATTTTGAATGACTTTTACTGAGTATATCAAAGTACAATTTTGTGTTAATTACTTGTACTGCACCAAGTATTTCCAGTTTATGCTAACTGTACTTCTCTCTCTACATTTCAAAGACACCTTGTACTTATACTAAAAAAAAACAAAGTTAGGCCTACTAGTTCCTTCTTATTATTTAACATAAAAGGGCAAGAATCCCACAATTCACCTCAAGAGCATTTAAAGGAAAATGTCAAACAAATCTTTAAGGGAGAACATCGTTCATCCATGTTGCTGACCCAATTATCTTCTCAATCACTCAGATTTGATATGTTTCCGTTAGTGGTGATTTCAGGATTACATTTTGTAAAAAAATAAAATAAATGAACAAGCATTATTAAAACTACATTTTTTACTGTAGCTAATTATAAATAAATTCACTTTCACAGAAACGGGAACAGATGACTCAGACTCGGCATGGTAAACATCTGCACTGCTTTGAATCTGCACCGAAAACTTGTCCATCTTTTGCATTCATCTCTCATTCACACACAAACTCACCCAGGCTAAAGCTGATTGCAACTTCAGCAGGTATGCAGAGCAGTCCTAACACACAGCTCCACCAATGGGCTCTCATCCTGCAAGCTGGGCTGCAGGCCGGCTACCCAAGACACAGCTGACTGGCAGACTGACAGGCTAGGTGTCACACATGAGCTTAAAAGACACAGTGTGGTTTACAAAGGAAATGAGACATTGACTTTTGAAGTTAGTTTATCTGCTCTGTGTGTGTGTGTGCGCACGCGTGTGTGTAAACCCTGTTTCTCATTACATCAAAGATTTGGAAATGCTGGTTACTGACTAAACTGTACTCAGCGACTGAAGTTTCTTGCAAAACAATCTACCCACACAGTCACTTCTTGTTAAAGTACATGAATCTCACTTTACTTATTTTCCTATTTATGCATGAATCAAGCGTCATCGAAAGTCATGTATTGCACTTCCAGTAAGTTGTAGACTTAAGAACCAAAAAGCAGTCCCAGCTCTCCTGCTGCTGATTCTTTGAAAGGTTCAAACTTTCAAAATGGTACTGCCATTCGACCTCTACAACCTGATTAGTGCCCTGTCTTTGCAAAGACCGCCCCCATGCCAAGATAACCAGGATTACATCATCAAATGTCACGTCTCACAAACTTTAATTGGAAATGCATCAAAAGCACATGAGAGTCATTTAACACGGCTTAGGCAGAGCAAATGCATGTTTAGGAATTTCTAGACTTTGCCTCCATCTCAGTTGTTAATGCACAAACTTGACACTCCCTCCAACCTACACCATGAATCTTTTAGTTTAGATTTTTTTTCATCCCAGCAACACTAGCAATAAGGGGCGGTTGGTTGGGAACTGGAGGGTTGCAGGTTCAAGTCCCGATCCGGACCAAATTATGGAAGTATAGGTCTGGTAGCTGGAGAGGTGCCAGGTCACTTCCTGAACACTGCACAGGTGCCCTTGAGTAAGTCACAAAACCTCCAACAGCTCGGCCGCTTCCTGCATCGCAGCTTGTAGCAGCCCCACTCTGACATCTCTCCACTGGTCCACAGGTCCTGTTTGTGCATGTGTGCAATTTATGCATATGTAATGGTAATCCTTGTATATATTAGTTTTTTTGTTGTTGCTTATATTATGTTTAACTTTGTACATTGAGAGCACTGAAGACAAATTCTGTGAGTGTGTGTAAGCATACCTGGCCAATAAAGCTGATTCTGTTCTAAATGGTAAACAGACTTGAGCTTGTATAGCGCTTTTCTCTTCTTCTGACTACTCAAATCACTTTCACATGTATGTCACACGTACACATTCACACACTGACGGCAGAGAACATCAGAATGCCATTCATACTCATTTACACGCCGCCAACAAAGCAGCAGGAGCAATTCAGGTTTAAGTGTCTTGCCCAAGGACACATCGGACATGTTGCTGCAGGAGCTGGGGATTGAACCTCGACTTTCCAGTTGAGAGACGATGACTATACCAACCGAGCCACAGCCATGCGTGAGAAGCATGTCTCTAACTAACAGAATGTAAAACCAGAACTTTCCTCAGGGATGAATAAAGTATGTAAATTGAAAAAAGAAAAATAGGGAAAAAGGCAACAAAATGAAACACATTTTGTCTTCAGGGATCCATCCATTGTTCTTTGAAAATGAAAGCTGAAAACATTTCAAACATTTGTTTCTTACTGTTCTTGTTAGGTTATATTTTTATTTTTCAAAGTTATTGTTTCAGCACTACTGTCACAAGGTTCAACCACTTACATGAAAATATATGAATATGAATCTAATTAAACGTATGTATTATCTCGCGTTCCTTCACTTGTATCTAATCATGAGTGTTGTTGTGGTGTAACAGAGAAGAAGCACTCTAAGGAGATGAGGATTGATTTATTGGCACACATTCATGTCATTGTTCAGCTTCTACATTGAAATGAACAAACGCTTAATTTGTTAGGACATTTTTAGTACCTCACATTCATGTTTGATCTTTTTAAACAACAACACTTATCATAAGAATATTTGTTTGGGAATGGAAACAGAAGTGACAACGTAAAGGAAGTCATCTTGCACCTTAAAATAAAATAAAAACTATGATTCTTTACTGAGATGGATAAACCAAACACTGGGCTGCTAAAGCCCTCCCTCTACTTATTTAGTTCTATTAAAAATCTTTTTATCTCCTTTAATCGCAGAGCAGCATGTCTTTTATACGACTGTTGAGATACGACGATCACACTGTTGCATAGACGTCAAGAAGTGTGATGACAGTGTGGAGAAAACTTGACTGGAAAGTAAATCAACAGATTTAATACTGGACAGTTTACATTTGGAATAAATTAGACTCCTTAAATGTAAGTCTGGCTTCCACACGTGCAGTACATGAGCTCTCGATGTGCTTAAATCTTCTTTGCTGATTTGTCAGTGGTTTATTGCTCTGTGCATTCATTGACAAATAGTTCACACCGGCTACAGAGTTCATTTCTCACAAAAGCCCGTGGATTAGGGGCTTTTCTTTTGACAGCCATTACCTGCAGCTTCCTGACATTACTGCTTAAGTCTGCATAAAACAGAAGTGTGTGTTTTTCCTGACTCTTCTTATCATATAGTCACAGGGTCAGCAGTCAGCACAGAGGACCCTCTGATTTAAATACACACATCTCCCTCCGGTGGCCAAATGGAAGAACTGCACCTTTTGAATCTTCACTGGTCCTCTGCTTGTCCTTTATGGTCCCAGCATGGACAATGTGATGGTCCAATCGACCAGAGACAGCCTCCATTCAGTTAACTTCATGTCTTTCTGCTCACCACTGCATGTGTGGGGGCTGTGTGTGGACCTGACTCTCGTTTCTGTACTGGGTGTGCAGAAGTGTGCTGGCTTGTGGAGAGTCCTGGCCCTGCAGCCAGTCCTGATAGAGAGTGTGCAGGGCAGGGTTGACATCTGGGAGACAGACCGGCAGGCTGCTGTAGGCCTCCTCCATTTGTTGCACTAGAGCTTTATCCACCCGGCCAACCACGTCGCTCTCCGCCTGACCACGACCGCTTAAGCACCCTGATAGGAAACACACACAAAAAAAAAACAACTTTACAGCTGCAGATACTAGAGGACGAGGTTTTCTAACTAAAGTTGTAAAACCAGGAGCGGTAGAAATTTAAAGCAATAAACATTTCTCAGATGTCTGTGGTCGTCGTGTTACCTCCTGGGCAGGACAGCACCTCTACAAGCTGATAAGGCACACGTCCCTTTCTCATCCGATGAACCAGAGTCTGGATGTTCCTAAAACCATAGACAGCAGCAAACTGCAGCAGAGTTTCCCCGTCCCGCTCCAGAGTCACTTCTTGGAAGTCCCTGTTCCTATAAGACACGACAGTAAGATACTATGTGTCTTTCTTTGATGAAGATATGGAGGGTTAAAGCATGGCTTCCTCCATGGGAGCTAAAGTAAGTCAAACCAGAGTAAGTCTGAGGGTCTTGTATGTCTCACCTGAGGGTCTTGTATGTGATCTCATGGACTTCCAGACCAAAGAGCTCTTTGGCAGCATGTTTAAAGATGTGCTCCAGGAAGCCCTCAGAGCCTCGGCCTTCATTTCTCACCGGCGCCAGGTCTCCAGCTTCTCCCAGCCTGCGACGATAATACAGGAAACTCAAACAGCCACTTAGTGAATATGTACATCTTAAAAGCTGAATGTACTCCAAACTCCATGGAGGACGGTTGGACAATAGAATAAACCAATTCAGGGGAGGGGTGAACAAATCATCCTCATGTGCTGTATAGAAGAATCAAAACATGCATGTTCGTGTTCCACAGACACTAAAGGAAATGGTAAATGCTCTAGCCTTAGATCGCCCTTTTCTCGTCTTCTGACCACACAAAGGGCTTTACAGTACGGTCATATAAACACACATTCATACACTAATGGAAAAGGCTGCTATGCAAAGTACCAGGCTGCAAGACAGGATCTGGCTCAAATCTAATCACGAGAAGGAAAGGCGCCATTACCACAGTGTGTACAAGTCAAACATAAGGCTAGGCTGTACTGTGAACATACTCTGTTATTCCTGAGGAAGTACATGATACAGATGTTGAAAACCAGATTGACATTTCCTGAATGTTTACTTATACATCCACTGAGAGAGAAAATATACTGAATGTGAGTGATGAAATCAATGTTAACTAGACCCACTATCCAGATTTCATAGTTTGGAAAGACCTTGTAGTTTTGTATGTGTTTATGTCGTTTCTTGGACAACAATCGAGAAAGCACACACATCCAAACAAAAAATCCCGGTGCAGAGTCGGGAAAAGAAGTCACTGAAGCAAAGAAAAAGACGGACTGCACGCTGCAGGGCTCCAACGTTCCAGAAATGTACTTCATCAGGGTGATGTTTGGATCACACCTGACTGAATAAGGAGCAGCTGTGCTCGTCACCCTGGTGAAATACTTTTCTGGAATATTGGAGCCCTGCAGTTTATTTGATTTCTTACCAAAGATAACTGTTAGTATGAACACTAGTATAACTACTCACACATGGTCCAGAGGAACAGAGTCCAGCTCCTCCAATGAAACCTTCCTCTGCTCCATGAGGTAATAAATCTCCCCTGAAACATTAAACAAAAGTCTTTATAATTGTCTATTACAGACTGTGTGCTCTGTATTTTTGTGAACATGCAAATAGAAATATGTATGGCTTTACTAGGAAAATTAATATAAAAGTTGTTTAAAACCAATAACTTGCAGAAGAAGAAGTCTTGAATGATTACAGCCAATTTGAACAGCCAATTTGAACAACCAGTAACGCATGCATCGCTTTAAAACAGGATATTCCTTGTTGGCAGGAAAGATAAAATCACATTCATGGTATTTTTATTACATTTTTGGGCCCTTTTGCCTTGATTGGATAAGACAGTTGTAGAGAGAGAGAGGAACTGTTGGGAGGAGAGGCCGGGGGATGACATGCAGCAAAGGGCAGAGGTCAGATTCAAACCCACGGCTGCTGCGATGAGGACTAACAGCCTCTGTACATGGGGCGCGTACATAACCGCTAGGCACCATTAAAATCACATTACTAATTGAGGAAGCAAAGTAGATCAAAATGCTTCTTACAAATGTGAGCCACTTCCTGTCTCAAATGCATCTTCATGAAGAGAATCTGAAGGCTGGACAGAAGAGGATAAGACGGGTTCTGCATGTTGTGTTGTGTGTAATGTTAGGTTAGCTAACACTGTATGTTTGATGCCAGGTTTTCCCTTTTGTTTTTTTACACAAGTGAGACACTGCTGTGTGTGGATAAATGGAAAGGCTCTAGTATGACTTGTAGTTTAAGAAAGTACAATGACATCACATATTGGATGGTTGGATTGATTGAAATGTAACTTATTCATTATCTACCTGTTTGTAAGAACACTATTGGGCTCTAAAGACACCAGACCTCTAACTAATAATTACTTGATTCAACATGAGCAGTGAAAACAAACTCTAAGAAATCTGTAGGTCTAACTTGGCTCAGGGCAGAAGGGTGAGATAAGGAGGAACGAACCTGACGTGAGGACACAGTCTACATCTCTGGTCTCCAGCAGGCTGTTGTAAAACTCCTCTCGGACAGCCTCTAACTTTTTATCAAAGCAGGGAGCCACTAACATGTGGTACACCTTCTCTGGACTCAGCTTCTGCTGGGAGACAGGGCAGAAGAACAAACAAGATAAGAAGACAGCGTAACCTGATGTGTGTGCCTTAGCTTTCACTTAACTCTAGATTTGAGGAACAGGAAGTCTGTGATATCAACAACAGATTAACTTAACTGTGACACAGACATCTTTCCAATAGGGGGATTTTGTTTTGATGATTCAGCTTTAAAAATGTGAAACACCAACTGTGACATCCAACTGGCAAACAAATCTTTTCCTTTTACTTAGTTGACATCTTTTTTTTTTTTTTTTAAAGATTTGTTTATTAAGAAAACATAAACTTTACAAGCAAATCCACTGTCAAATATAAAACATCCAGTAAAATGCAAAGGAGCAGTGTCGGTCATACAGCGGCCATCTTTAAGTGACTGTTGTCATAGAGACAAGGGCTCAATCCAAGTGCTCCCGAGTGCACATCCAGCGCTTTCTGCCCTAAAAGAAAAAAATCGCTAGGTGGACAAAGGCCCTTAGTTCTCTTTTAATCCCATATGATAACATGTTAATCACAGACGGAAATAATTTCCCCCTCGTCCCACCTTTTTAACCTTTTAATGCTTACACAACATTACAACCCAACCAACAGCTGTTAACATTGATCAGCGTGTGCAGGGATACCAACATAAACATTGTAAATGCATTGGACTGTTCAAACAACAAACTCTCACCTGCTGTTTGGAGAAGTAGTCTTTGACCAGGCAGCCCATAATCTGCTGAGGAGACCGGGCTGTGCAGATATGAGGGGTGACCAAACTGCCCAGGACACGCTCGGAATAGCGGATCCAACCTGTAGACACATGCACAGACACATTTTTATTCACAGTGACATATCAAAAGAGAATATATTCAGAAAATACAAACAGAGACATGCAGTATGACAGGCTGTATGATACACCTTTTCCTTGTCAGAGAGGAGATATTGCAAGATGTTGCTAAGAATTTAACTTCCAGTACATTTTTTAAATACGATGAAGCTGTCCCTTAAGTGCATTTCCCATGGGACTCTAAAGCAATGACAAATATCTGACCCCTTCATGGAAGTGCTAAAATGATTAATGGGAGACCTGACAGTTGGGCTGAAAATCAACGTGAACTTAGAAGTTAAATAACTAGCAAATAAACTAACCGGTCAAATTACATTCATGAAGCATAACCAATCCAAAGTCATACATTCTCATCTGGAAGTTTCTGAATAGTGACGATTCACCGACTTTAAGTCATTACTGATTGTAGACGTCAACTTTGTCACATAAAAAAAAAAAATGTGATTGGAAAGGTTTCCTGACATAGTTAAGACAACTGGTTATGGAGGGCCAGTTTAGCTCAGTGGTTAAATCGTGTGTCCCATGTACTGAGGCTATAACCCTTTGAATTGTAAATGGGTTTGAGCTTGTGTAACACTTTTATAGTCTTCTGACTACTCAAAGCACTTTGTACACCGCATGTCACACCTACACATTCACACATTGATGGCAGAGGCTGCGATGTAGTGAGACCATCAGCAGTAACTAATGCCATTCATACACATTCATACCCCGCTGACGAAGCAGCGGGAGCCACTTCTTGACTTAAGTGACTTGGGGTGCCCAAGGACTCATCGTACATGTAGATGCAGGAGCTGGGGATTGAACCCCCGACCTTCCAGTTGTGAGATGACAGAGGCGGTGGCCCCATGTTGCCCACCCTTGGCCATGTAGCGCATGTCACCCCCCCACCCTCTCATCCCTTTTTCTGATTCTATCCAAACCTCCCAATTTTTTCCATTTATTTTATTTATCAGCGGACAGTGTGCAATGACATTGATCATTTATACAAAGATGGTTGCACCAGATTTGGCGAGTCGCTAATTTCCATCTGTAGTCGTCACATAAAAGTGATGCAAGACAAACAATAATAAAGCTGCACTCGGCAGAAGACCACAAAGAAACCCACCTGACAACACTACATAATAAAATGCTATCAACACTGTGGAACAATGTATATCCTGCTTTAATATTTATAATTATATACATTTATAATATATTTTATTATATAAATAATATATTAAAATATTTACAATAAATATGTTTTTAAAAAGTGTGATTGCATGTACGGGGGCCTTGCAATAAATAAATAGCGGGAGGACCATTAACCCACACTGCATGATATAAGGGACAATATAATACACAATAGCTACATTATAAAGTGACCACAGGTTCCTTGAGGGGCAAAGTTATTACATTTAAAAGTAACCAAGAATCAGATGTAAGAACCAGTGGTCACCTCACAGACTGATGAATGGAAGTATATGAATTTGTTCCTTGTTCTCTTTACATCTCTGATGAAGGGAGTGGTCAAAGAAGAGCTTTCTATCTTTCCCAGCCAGCACACCACTCCTATCTCCACTTCTAGAACAAGCGGCCTCTTCGTATGCAGCACACAGCGTGAAAATAAGACTCAGGAATTTAAAGACTGAGAACCAGCAGAGACAAAGTAGAGGCAAACAGATGAGGCAATCATTGCAGTAGAGCAGAGCTTCTCAACTGGTGGGCCGGGACCCAAAAGTACATAGATAGTTTTGTTCCATGTCTTTGCTCCACTACATGTTTTGTAACGTCTTAAGTAAGAACTGCACAATTTGTCAATAAATAAATCTGATTGGTTGGGAAATATCAGACACTTGGGTCGTGACTTTTCGTGACGGAGTCGGTGGTGGGTCCTGAGGGAGGACCAGTTGAGAACCACTGCAGTAGAGGGCAGTTTCATTGGGGGAGAAAAACAAATTCAACAGGAGAGACACAGGAGAATATGGTAGGAAATGAGGGGCGAGGAGGGAGGGAGTTTTACCTGGGCAGGAAGAGGTAAACATCGGCAAGGCACTGGAGTCGTGGTGCCTCCTGCGATACCTCTGGATAAACTCCTTCTGACTCTCCAGGATGCTGAAGCCGGCCGCCAGTGTGGTGTCAAACACATACTGTACTCCTGCAGGGTCAGCGCAGAGAGGGATACGATCAGAAAGAGCGGCGGAGGGAGAGAATGTTGAATATATATGATAGATGGAAGTCCTCTCCACACAATCCATAAGGAAATGATTCTGGTTGATTCAAGAGGCTCAGTTTCTGAATTTCTAATTCTTCTGCAGTATTTAAAAAAAGGAAGAAAGTGCAACATTATACACATTAATACAGAAGAAATCCAGTATGCCCTCAGTCATGACTCAGAGAGGTTTGTACTTTCTACAATGAGTGAGACGCGCTAGTCCCGCTGGCTGTGTTGTTGTCTGTGCCGTGTTTACATGGATGGGACGGCCAGCCGGCTCGTCCCCCTTGCGTATAAAAGCTGTTGGAGTGAGGGACTACTTCATATTAAAAGTCACATTTTGAGATCACGCTCATTCTGTGTAAATTTACATGCAACGTGAAGCTACGAGCTAACTAAAGCGTGCTACCATGAGCATGCTAACAACAAGGCAGCTATAGATAAGGACAATTTTGTGCGCCGCTTGCACTTAGCGCTTAATTACGGTGCGTTCCGGTTTGAGAACTCCTTCGAGCAAAACGCGTGTGGAGAGGGGGTTGGAGGTGTGTCGCTGGAGGAGAGCGGAGGATTCGGTGTGGCGGAGGTGTCGCTAAAACAGCAGTTTGTTTTGATTTCACGCTGGTGCTCAGGGGGCGACATCTACTGGATCAAAAAGTCGCACATTCTTCCTTTAAATGCAAAATAAATGCTTTAACAGATTACACAAGCTGACCATATAAAACTCGTTCTAACTGGCGGATGCTGAAAACATTATGAAGTAACTGTGACAGAACAGGAACACATCAAATTTAAAGAAAGAAGAAAGAAGAACTTGAGATGCTTTGTGCTGTGAGAGTAAAAACAGCGACAGGCGAATACAACTCGCTCACCTAAGCTCTTGAGGAAGCCGCAGAGTTTCTGGGTTGCCTCGGTGATGTCCAGTCCGAACTTCACAGCAAAGAAAGGCAGAGACTGTGGACACACGGATGCTACCAGCACCTTGTGCTTTGACACGTCACACCTCTGACGGGGGAAACAAAAAGGGGACGATGTCAGAGTTATTGCCGAGAAGACAACTTCCGGACTCCTCAGGTTTCACGGGGGGCTGACTGGTTGTGCATTGTACCTTATTGAGAGCCAGAACCCGCTCCACTTCCTCCAGGCTCTGCTGAGTGATCTTCAAACTCTCCTCCTCTGACAGACAGCCATCACAGGACAGACAAGCACTCAGCAGCAACTGGGGGCCTTCTTGCACCTTAAGGAGAAGATGAGGAGGGTGCTTGGATTTGTCATTTTTGAAAGAGTACGCTCGGGCTGGGCGATATATCGAGTGTTGAAGATAAATTGAAATATTCTCAAGCGACATATTGGGTAAAGAAAACATTGTTTATATCAATAAAGTTTATGTTGCGCTGAACTTTATACTTTCATATTTCTCCTCTCACTGTCCGTCCCTCGTCACCCTGCTCCTCCTCTCTCCCTCTCTGAGCACAACTCTAAAACGTCCTTCATAAGTAGATACACAGCTGAATGTATTTCCTTATGCAGAAAAGGAACTTACTTTTAAGGAAATCTGTTTTTTTTAATTTCACAAATTGGTAGTTTATTTTCAGGTCATTTGTCATGTACCTGTTAACATAATAATAAAAGTGTCTTTGTGACATTTGGCCCGTGTGGATGTGACTTTGTTTCTGTTCATTTCACTACATGAGAAAATATCAAGCGGTATATGAACATTGTGTGTCGCCATTCAGCTAAAAAAAAATATATCGAGATATGATTTTGGTCCATTTGGCTCAGCCCACGAACCACAAGAGACAGATAATTAAAAGGAACGAGAAATATACAGTAAAATACGGAGAAAATTCAGGAAGTTATCAAGATGACTCGACCATAATTCTCTGGGATCTAAACCTTAAAAAAAACTAACTTCATACTTCCCTTTTTAGGATAAATGAAAACATATTTTGAATTTGATCTATCAAAGATCTTATAGTGTCTAAACCCACATTTTAGAAAACACAAGATCTTTTTTTTTTAGACCTCAACAACAATTTCAGAAGATATTTTCTACAATGTGACGAAACACACATGAACTGACTTTGATAGAAACATAAGGGATGCCCCTATAATAAATAACTACATGATTAGTGTTTTGCCACATTAATAAACGATAAATGAAACTGCAGTGAAAAGACATTACCTGTCCATTGACTTCATCTATCTCCGTGCGTGAGTCGGCATCATCTTCACTCTGTTTCTTGTTGCACTGTGTGACAAAGATCAATATTCAAATTCACGATTGGCAGCATGACAAAGTTTTTCAAACATACAGAGACAAGCTGACTGATCCAGATCCAGATATTTACCTGTTTTGTGCAGTTCTCACACTTCTCCTTGCGCTTTCCTTTGTTGACTTCTGACATTTTTCTTCCGTGATTATCTGTAAAATAAAGTGGATATTTATAAAAGGCAGTAGAACCATCAGATCCCCGGCATTGTCCTGAAGCACTGGTACAATGACTCTGCCTGGAGAGCCTGCTTATGTGTTGTTTAGTCAGCTCCACCCTCATCTGACTGTCAGCCTGTCAGATCACAACAGTTCAGTAATGATGGGAAACCACAAGGGGAAACTCACAATGAACAAAACTACTAACCTGTCATTAAATGTTTAAATGGCTCAGGTTAATGATACACACAGTGCAAAGAAAAACAGCCTCAGAAGCCATTACATCATATTTTCATGGCATGAGGGACTTAAAAAACAATTATGGGCTGAAAAACTAAATCCCACATTTATTATACAAATTAAACAAAAATCACTCGCCAATCATTTAACCAAAGTAATAAAAAAAAGACTTTGTGGTCAATATTTAACTATAGTTATTGGTTATTCTCGCTATAAATGTAGCATCAATAATGTAGGTTATTACTAAGTGATGCTGTGAGAAATAAATGATTGTTAAAGCGATTTCAAATGCGCTACTGCGGTAAAGGCCTTTTTTATGAAGGGTAGTTCATTTGTGAAACTGTGTGTTGATTTAACAGTAATAAAAAAAAAAAAAAAAAAAAAAAAAACAGGCCCTGTGTCAACACTACAAGGTCGAATTTTAATGGAACTCACCGGCAGGTTTCTATTTCAGTGCCCTTTCACACAAAGGCATGTGGGGAAGCAAATGCAGAGGACAGTCAGGAAAACAGCGCAAGAGAAGACAACCCCGCACTGACACACCGCAGCAGCTGCTCAGCTCTCTTTCAGTCTCAGGTGAAGTCGTCTGTGAGCGCTGTCATCGCCACTGGTCGCTGAACCGACCCGGTGATATCATAATATACAACTTCGGCTTACATATGCGTCGGAGAGTCTAGTTCACGAGACTACCTATGGACGCCTATGGACGTCGGACTCCATTGTGTACCCCGGTGAATCCATGACGCATGCGCAGACAAAGTCGCCGTCTTCTCATCTGCTCCGGAAGCTTCAGGCTAACAAAATACACTTTTCTTTAAATAATGGGGTTTATTTTTCCCACACAATATCGAAACGTATCCTGTCAATTCCTTCTACTATTTCCTGTGCAACATCAACAACCAGCCCTTTACTTTTAGACATGATAAATCTCTTTATAACCACATATTACGTGTATTTTTAATCTTCCCAATCACAGGATTGAAATTCAAGTCCACCCTTTCATTTTGATTGTTTACATATTTTAATGACTTAGTACATTGCAAATATATTTCAGATAGGAATACAACAAACTTTATTTAATTATTTTGGTTTTTCTTTTAAAGCAAAGGCTTAAAGTAACAAATATATATGACATAGCTTAGAAGTGTCTGTCTGAGATATTTTGATTTTTCTAAGTATTTATGAAAGAAAATGGTTATTGGCACAAAAAAAAAAAAAAAACAAGTTAAGCCATATTTTGTGCAACATTAAATACTCTTATTTAAAAATCTATTTTATTCAAAAGGCTGCCAACAGTGTCAAGCAATTACCGGTGAAATATGTTATTTTTCTCTTAAATTGAAAGCTTTTATTTTGAAGGCGGCGCCAAAGTGAAACTGTCCAATCAGAACAAGCCGACCCAGGAAGGAAGTATCACCCATTCAATACAGTTGATGTGTTGAGGTTGTTGCAATAATATATGAAGAGAACTTCCTCGTAATCCATTTCATTCGCTTCCTCGTACAAATGCGATTTTATTAAATCTGCAAGCAAGGTGACATTTTCAGCGAAGGTGAGTAAAACAAACCGTGTCAGAGTTTGTTTCTGTCATGGTGAGAACATTAACTGTACTTTGAGATGTGTTGTGAATGAGTAAGACTAAGATGTGTTTGGATTTTTTACCCATAACACATGTCAACTACGAACAGCATGGGCATCTTTCACATCTTTTCAGTTTTCATATTTCATTGCAGGGAGGTTTAAATTCTTCTGAAATATAAAAAGATGAGGTGGAGAGATGGGCACCTGTAAGGAATCTGCCCCCCCCCCCCACACACAAATACGATGGAGGTGAAGGGACTTTCACCTGCTAAAAGATCAGAAACTTGTCAAAAACAGACTTTTCTCTTTGCCAGTTTTTCCTTAAATACAGGATCATTCTCACAGGATCATTCTCACAGGATCATGTCGAGAGATTTCCGATTTGGGCTATTCGAAATATTGAATAGTAGGCTACCAATTAAAACACATGTGGTCTGTCATCAGTATATCCGGATTAACCAGGAAATAGGTTTTAGATGGACCACAATTCTTGGTTCTTTGTAAATACATTTGGAAGGGGAACATCTCATTTATGCCATTTGTCAATAAGCAACTTGTATTGATTGTATTGATATTATACAAAAACAATAAAAATGACATATTCTGTGGTATAAGTTCATAACTCTGAACACAAAGTGTCCTCAAAGTAAAATGTGGTCCCTGTAACACTGTTTGAAGATAAAAAGCTACGTGAGAAGTTATGGTGGGGGAGTGAAACATTAACTCTTCTGGTATATTTTTTTTTTAGCTCCAAACAGTGTTCAGGGACCCATTCTTTCCTTTTTATACATTTTGTGTATTTAGTTCAGAAAATATAGCATCGAATTGATTCACTTCTCCACCTTTTCAAATGTCACGACCAAACCTACATAGTGCACCTTTAAACTGATCAATTTATAAATAGGCAGCTATAATAGAAGATTTTTAAATTGCATGTAAACACAGCAGGGCACTTTAAGGTGGTAACATACATTAAAGCAACACTTTGTTCCATTAATTGTGCTTTTAGTAGAGGAACAAACCCTCAAAAAAGGCTTTAGTTTTCGAGATACCCCTACCGACTACACACCATCTTTATATGACTGAAATATATTAAAAAAAACTACAACAGGCTGTATGGCCGATATACAAATAGACTATATGAAGTATATTTCATTTCTAAGAACTCAAGGTTATATATATCAATACTGTTTTTTAGTTCAATATTTCACAACTGATGTCAAGACAATGCTTTAATTTTTTATAATGAAATAGAAACTATGTCATAGGTGACAATATTGTTGAAAGCAGCGGGTTGGCTCTGAGTGTCATCATATAAATCATATGTAAGATAGAAAATGTGTTAGGCATAACTATAAAATGTTTAATTATATATGTATATTACAGAATACAATTATATTGAGTCTTGTTGTTAAGTATGCATCTATTGTTTGTGGCCACCTCCTCCCACATACACATCCATAGGGCCCCATTGTACCAGGTCGCCCTGAAATCCTGGCTGCACTAGTTTCCTGTTAGGGGCTGGTGACAGCATAGGGTCAAGTGAAAAGTCAAATAACTTGCTTTTATGTTGAGATAACGGTCTAAAGAAGATAAAAATGACATATTTTAATGTTTGGTGTCCTTGCTTAAAAAATGACAGACTTTGATATACATACCTTTTGAATTTTTGTTTCAATTTTCAATTTCCGCCTGAACTACATGTGTGTTTAAGTGTGAAAAATTCGAAAATTTAAAATGGTATTGATTAAAACTTTGCATAATTGTAACTAATAACTATCTGTGAACATCCTGTCCAAATTTGGTGAAATTGTGATTCTGATTCCCAGAGATACATGTGATAAGGCTAGAGCTGTCCCTTTTGGAGAAGCCCTAATTTGACCTATTTTCGTTTTTTGGTAAGATGCATAAAACATCCAAAAAAGTTATTTTGCAGTAAAATATTTTTATACAACCATCCGTTTCATAAACTAGACATGTTTAAGTTCTGAAAAAATATAGTTTTGCTTTGTTCTACCTCGGGTAGGGGTCTCTCAACTTTTAGGGGCCCAAGTTCCTCTACTATTTACCTTTTTTTGCCTTTAATGGAGAGATAGGACAGTGGACAGAGCTGGAAACCAGGGAGAGAGAGAGTGGGGAGTGACATGCAGCAAAGAAGCCACAGGCTGGATTTGAACCTGGGCTGCCGGCTTGGAGGACTACAGCCTCCATACATGGGGCGCGCGCACTAACCGCTGAGCCACCAGCGCCCCGAGTGTGCTTTAAATGCTGAATATATCAAAGCAGTATTTCAATAGGCCTTTTTACAGGTGACATTTTGAAGTCACATTTTATAAAAAAGAAAGGGTGTACATATTAAAATAAAAGATAATAGCACAGAGTTGCTTTTTGTTGGTTTTGCAGGGTTGGGTTGATCTCTGTTACAGAGACGAGAAATGAGAAAGATTTAGTGTTTAAAGTCTCACTCAGCACCGGTCAGAAGTAAGAATATATAAATATGTAAATCCAGGTGAAGTGATAATATCGGCTGATATTAGCATATCAAGTGACAACCGGTATCGGCTAATTTTATCGCGGATATATACGGATTTCATTTGAATAGCGTTGATTTACTAGCAGTTCTCTTTCACCAGCAGAGGGCGCTATACGGATTACAACAAGCGTTATCACTCTCCGGAGTGTCAAGCGGTGACGTTCGTACATGCGCAGTCACTTTCCAGTTGAGTGACCATCTTGTCTTCATTATAAATCTTTTCCACAAGCGTTTGAAAACTGCATTTGAGCGATCAACGCAGTAAATGTCTACATTTATATCTATCTATCTCTACAGGCCCAACTTAGATCTAAGAAAATTATCGGCCAATTTATTGGAATCCGATTTTCTTTCTTTCTCCCCAATTATCGAGATCTGTATCGGTCCCAAAAATCCCATATAGGTAAAGGTGTGATAGCAGTTTTGAAAAAGCTTAAGTATATTTGAAGTGTCAGACTTTTTTGTTCTGCCTCTGTTCAGATGGGATACATGACAGTAGAGGAGCACAGCGGCACCCTGCTTCACCTGAAGAGATCCCCCGGCATTCGTTCCTGGTCTGTTCTTGTGGGTAAGAATATGTCTCCAAATCTTCAGAAGGCAATTAATAAAAATATAAAGCAATCCACTTATCCTTCTCAACATTCAAACTCTATTTAAAACATGTCTTCTCTCTCCTTGCATCGCCTTCTTAACGATAAACCTCTCATTGTCATTGAAGGCATAGCTTCTGTGGGGTTGGCTGCTGCATATTACAGCTCAGGTACACTAACTGAAATGATGTTGTCCTCAAAACACATTTAAACTACTGATTTACACAACTTTGCCGACTAAAATTCACCTACTGCAACTTCTTGCCATGTTTTGTGTTGCTCACACAGACAGCATCTTGTGGAAGCTCTTCTATGTGACTGGATGCCTGTTTGTAGCTATGCAGAACATGGAGGAGTGGGAGGAGGCTGTGTTTGACAAAACCAAGAACCTGATCGAGCTAAAGAGCTTCAGCTTGTACGCTTTAATCCTGACGTTATGGAGGAAGGGGCACGAGAAAGGTCTGTAACTCCACTGAGTGGTTTACCTATAACAGAAGTCTCCCTGCCTAGTTGTATTTTTTATATATATATATATTGGATATTTAATCTGTATTTCCCCCCCTTGTCTTTCTCAGTTGTGTTGGATCTGACTCAGCTCTGTGACATCTGCATCCAGGAAGAGAGAGTCCGCTATTTGGGGAAGGGCTACCTGCTGATGCTGCGGCTCGCTGCAGGCTTCTCCTATCCCCTGACTCAGAGTGCCACGATGGGGAATCGTGGGTAAGTGTACTACACATCCAGAGTCGTAGACAAACCGTTTAAAAGGATTGACCTGGTATATAAGTAGGTGTGTAGAGTGGAGAACACTTGGGGATGCTGATGTTCTCCGTGTCACTGGACACTGCACTACGTCATCAACACTGATATACCATCGTCATAAAATATGGAAAAAGTGAATTAAATGAGTTCAGATGTTTCTGCCACACCTGGATGAAATGTTGTGAACAGCCATGACATCTAACCGACAAACGTTTGGAGGTTAGAGTGGGTTTTAAAGAGCGCAGTTAGACCCCGGAAGAAACAAAGATCAAGCTGTTGACTAGCTTTGTACCAGAAGAACCAGTGAGGTTTAAAATCATAGGCCTACCTACCCAAAACCTCTCACAGCTCAACTACAGAGCCCTGAATCTCAGAGCACTCACCACAGCCCAGGACCCCTCTCACCCACTCAATCCACTCTTTTCTGCCGTCGGGTCGGAGATACAGAACCCTGACCTGGAAGAGGGCACGCTTCAAAAAGAGCTTTGCCCCATCAGCGACTGAAGCTCTAAACAAGCTTCCACGCTGACTGGCCCCTTCTTGTTATGTGTTTTTTCTACATGTGTTATATCTTTCTACTTACTGTTATATGTTTTCTTGGAGCACAATAAAGTTTTGTATTGTATTGTAAAACAACCTCGATTCCCAATAAGTTGGGACGCTGTGTTAAGTGTAAATATAAATAGATAAACCATACGACAGGGTCATGTTTGCGTCCCCTCTTCATACGTGTTTGGGAACACTGTCATTTTCAAAGTGGAATGTTTTACCACTCCTGCTTCATGTAGGATTTCAGTTGTTCAGGGTCTCCTGTTAAACGCCAGGACTGTTTTACGACGGAGGCATGCTACTGCAATACGTGAAGAATGTGGTTTGGCATTGTCTTGCTGAAATAATCAAGGCCTTCCTTGAAAAACTCAGTTGTTTATTCAGCAGCATTTGTTGCTCCAGAACCTGTATTTCAGCATTACAGTTCAGCATTAATGGTGCCGTCACAAATGTGCAGGTCACCAATGCCATGTGCACTAATGCACCTCGATACCTTCACGGCTGCTGGCTTTGGAACCGTGCACAAAAAATAAGATGGACAGTTTCTCTCCATTTTAGCCCAGAGAATGGGGTGTCAGGGATTTCCAAACGTAAAGTCAAATGCTGACTCAGCAGACCATAGGGCCGTTTTCAACTTCGCCTTAGTTCATTATAAATGAGCCCGGACCCGGAGAGGGTGACTGCGTTTCTGGATCTGGTTTATACACGGCCTCTTTAAGGCAGAGTTTCTATTGTTCATGAATGGATGCAGGGATAAACTGTGCTCACAGGTAAAGGTTTTTGGAAGTTTTCCTGAAGATAACTTCCAAACACAGTGTTTGTGTCTGTTTTTCATTTGTCTGAGGGCCCGAAGATCACGGCCATCCAAGATTGTTTTTTTGGCCATTCCCACTGCGTACAGAGATTTCTTCAGATTCTCTGCATTTTTAAATGATATCATTAGATTAGAATACTTTATTAATCCCCAGCAGGGAAACTCTTTTACCACCTGGTCAATTCATTCACACAATGAACAATATAGACAATTACAATCACAATACACAAATAATTAATAACAAACACTATTGAAACCATTTAAGACATCATTTACAGCCATGAATCAGAGCCACAACTCCAAATGTTCATTCAAATATCTGACTGCTGCTGGAACAAAGGAGCTCCTGAGTCGTTCAGAGGTACACTAAGGCATTACTAGTCGCTCACTAAAGAAGCGCCTGAGTCCATTATTAGAAACACTGTGTAAAGGATTTCCTGTTTTTAGTTTGGTCCTCCCCTATGAACTCAAGATGATGATTTCTTTTACAGTTTTACATTAAAAACATTACTCTTAACCCATCTCCACTTCAGAGAGCCTCTCTAGGATGTTCTTTTTCATTCCAGGTCATGTTACTAAACTGTCCACAGTTACCTCATTAACTGTGAGATGTTTCATCAGGTTCTTTTTAAAGCATGTCACAACTTCTCCAGCCTTTTGTTGCCACTGTATCCACTTTTTGAAACATGATGTTGGCATCAAATTCAAACTGGGCATCAAGTTTTCCAAAAACAACATATTTCTCAGTTTCAACATTTGACATTTTGTTTAAGTGCAATTTTCAAATTAATATTTGGTTTCAATGCAAATCAACACAGTCTGATCTTATTTTAAACAATGTCGAAACTTTCTAGGAATTGTGGTTGAAAACATGGACTGTAAATATTAATGGATGAAGCCTGAGTGACGTCAGCCGTCTGTTAGTGCAGGGGGCTCTGGAAGCTCATCGGCAGCAGCCGCCATGCTGGAAATCCTGTCTCAGCCTAAGTTTCAGTCAACCTAATGACAGTTTGAGAGCCGGAGCTGAGGCGGGTTTTAAGCCTCTTGACAAACTGTAACATTGTGCCCATCATGTCAGCTACACGCCTTATTGTGAATAAAGCGTGTGCCAATTCAAACATGAGCTCATCAGTCCAATATTATTTTATGTACCAGGCTGTGAACATAAAGATAAGATAAAGATAAGATATACTTCATTCATCCCAGCAGGGAAATTGAGGTGTTCCAGCAGGCAGCATACATACAAACACACAACACAACACATATATACAGACATATCCCACTAAAAAAGTGTTCTGGATGGTCCATGTGCATAAGTAGCTGTTACTCATAGATAACAGTACAAAACACTAGCTCTGCCAGTGCATAGTATGATACATAAATAAAGAATTATTATAAAAAAGCAGTCAACTGTGTAAATATACAGTTTGATATATGCAGCTCAGGCTAAAGTTTTAGAAGTTTAAATGTCTTCTGTCCTTACTTAAAGGGGAGTCGTTATAAAGTGCAATTGCAGTAGGTAAAAAAATAATAATTCATTTTCATTTCTGCTGTCAAAAAGGACTTTGTAAGTCTGTGTGTGTGTATGTGCCTCCCTGGGCTCCTGGAGCCAGTCTCAAGGGGACACTCCAGCTTTTTGCGCTTCCACATTGGCTTAATTTTTCAACACTGGAAGTTACCACTTTGTTGTAGATAAAAGAAACTAAATGATGACCGTTATAAACAGGAAGTACTTATTTTACATTGACTGCATGTCCTTTGATGTTTCTTGACATCTTAAGAGTCAAATCTGTGCTAAAGTTACTTGTGATTGCTCTACTTTCTCTACTTCATTATGATCTTCTTTAAACTTCCTCAAAGTGGCTAAAAATCAAGTTACCAAACTTTGAATTGTACTGTGCCACTTTCCTAGCATCCTGAATTACACCCTGGCTCCAGACTCATCTCCTATAGTCTGATAAAAAAGAAAACATATTTGGGAGCCAAAAAAAAAAACCCAGAACATATAACTTATACTTTCTAACACAGATATTTCTCTCTGTTTCTCACCCGCCAGCGATGTAGAGGCGGTGTCTGCACTGCTGAGGCGTTTCCTCGGTCTGGAAGAGCTGAAGCAACGCAGGCAGCAGGAGGAGGAGGCGGAGTTTGGAGAGGAGGACGATTCTTTGGACAACAGCAGTGATTCAGAAGACGAAGCTGGCGATCACTGATCTCACTGTGACTTTCAACCTCACTGTTACTTTGGATGGATTCCATTAGGGGCTTTACAGCATTTCTAAGGCATTACTAAGTATCCAGTTTATGACGCCCCATTACGTTATGCTTTTAGCATGTGCATGAAACACAAGGATACGGCCTCTTCTAGCATCTCCTCGCAGACTACCTTGTTGTAAATCAGGAAAACAATTAGTCAAGGAAATCCTCTATTTTAGTTGTGAATTCTTAAACTGTCCAAAAAAAAAATCAGCGAAAATAGACATCTTTTGTTGAACTGTAAATGTATGTATCTGTAAACGTACATCCTGCCTCAGCTGGTTGGATCTAATTACTACTTGAGAACACACTCCAGATTATAGATCTAGATCTACCGTGCCTTCCTACTGAGCTCTAATGAGTGTTTATGCTGTCAACATATAAAATGCTTTTCCCAAGGTTTTCAGGACCACCCAGTTGATGATCACCTTTTGCATTATTTTTCCTACCTAGTCTGCAATCCGGCTACACGCATGTGCAAACTGTAATCAAGCATGAAGGACTTTTCACGGCTCGATCGAGAGTGAAGACGGGCGAAATGCTTTGTCCTGTGGCCGTCCCATTTTCTTTGAACTTCTTGTGAACCAAAGATTGAATCTCAGGCAAACTTTTTGATGTGTCAGCCAACTATAAAAGATTTTATTGTTGTCATTAGTTATAGTCTGTGTTTATTCAATACATCTTTGGGAATAGTGTATGAAAATGTCATCTCTTATTATTTTCACTTAATGTGACAATTAATGCAATACACAAACAGCACTTTTCTCCTAAGCAAGCGCAAAACTACAAGTGAAAATAATGTCAGTGTTGGATGCAAAAGGAGCTGAATTTAACAGTTTTAATCCCTGAAGTTCTATGGCACCATCTCCTTCACGCAGGCTCTGATTGCCTCAGTTATCCTCTGCAATGGAGCCATTACTGGGCTCACGTGTTCTCTATCCACTCTTGGACTGTTGAATCTGGGTAAAGTTGACCCATCTCCTCCCTCACGCCCGCCACCTTTTGTTGTAACGTCGTCAAATACCTGAGGAGGCAGAACCCAGTGATGTGACTGTTAGCGGCTAATCGAGAGATTTTAAAACAAACATCAGAAAGTCAGTGAGTGGAGCAGGAGCATAAGTGATACTTACGTTGATGCTTGGCTATGAATCTGCATGGTAATGAGAGGGGTAACCATCTTTCTGCGTTGGTGGTAGGGGCTGAACCATCCTCTTACAAACCTACAGTAGTGCAGGCATTCAGTTATTTGGCTGTTTATGCATACATGTAATGGTCTATTTGGAAAATACTTTACTTTCTGGCTGAGAGTTCTATGAGAAGATTGATACCCGTATTATGTTTGTATATCAGGCTAAACACAGCAGCCTGTTAGCTTAGCTTAGCATAGCATAGAGTGCTAGCTTAGCATAGAATGCTAAGGCTAAAAGCAGGGGGGAGCAATTAGCCTGGATCTCTGCAAAGGTTAAAAAAAAAAATCAGTTTTCTGTCAGTATGAAAGCATACTAGTGATTCAGAGAAATACTCGGTGGGATGGAGGACTTCCTGGATTCTTACCTGGAAATCACTTCCTGTGTGTTGATGTATAGCCCAAAACGTTGAACTATTTCAATAAGAACTCAAAGATCTTACATTTTGACGTCTAACGCGTTAAAGTATAGTGAGGGAATCTATGAGACTAGCTGTTCGTGCTACAAGCAAAGCTAACAAGCAGCCGGCTGTGTCCTCATAATACGTCTACAGACATGGAAGTAAGCTAAAAACATGAAATAACTCTCAGGAGGACAGCACAGAACTCACATGTCATTTTCAAAATATCTTATGTTCTCTGAGTTAAGGAGGGAATTCAGCTCCACAATTAATTCCGCAAGTCTCTGTCCTGGGAACACTGCACTTTCTGGAGAAGTCCTATGGGACACATGGAACGTAAAACCAGTTAACCTTTCTGTACATAATCACTACATATTGACTTGCTGTAAAAAATAAACAGAGACAAGCCTCACCTTTCCATGGCCTCTACCTCCACTGAGGAAAGACCCAGTCTTTCCGATACCTTGATTTGATCCTCAATACTGAACTGACCACAGCTGAGTGTCTGGAGACAGGCTGCTAGTGATGGAAGCGCCAGAGGCATTAGCTCACACAGCACTGACAGATGGTCATACCTGACAGCGGGAGGAAAATGAAGAACATTTGTGTTGATTGTATAGATTTAAGATTCTGCTAATCTGTTATTCTCCTGATGAATCTGCATAAATAAGAAAGACAAAATGCTGTACTCCCAGCCCACAAAGAACAAATATATAACTATACCCAAAAACAACTTTCACTGAGCTCCTACTAAAGAATTGAAATCACAATAAAAAAAAACTTTGATGGTGCGCAGGTGGAATAGTGGTTAGCGTGTGCGCCCATGTAAGGAGGCTGCATCCCTCCAAGAGGACGGCAAGGGTTTGAATCTGACCTGTGGCTCCTTTCCTGCATATCATTCCCAAATCTCTCCTTCCCTGATTACTGACTCTATCCACTGTCCTGTCTCTCTAATAACGGCAAAAAGGCCCAAAATAAACCTTAAAAAACAAACAAAAAACAACTACTATAAGAGATAAAGCAAATACAAAAACAGCGTACACTTAGCACCAAAGTTCAATGTATTTAAAGAAGTGCTCAGTGCAGTCAAGGTCCATATGGATATAATGCTAAAAAGCATTTGTTTTATTTATCACCACATTATTTGTGGTCCAAAAGTCCTTCAGACCCAAACTGACAAAGACTCAAACGAAACCACTGGAGCCAACAATGAGAAGCTTTATTCTCCATAAGTTCTGATATGTGTGGTACGCATGTGCTTATTGTAATTACTGACCTGCTTCACATTCACACTGTTCACAAGGGTGGGTAAAGAATCTGCTCCCCCCCCCCCAAGATATCCATAATTCATGCTCAGCTGAAATCTATTTTTTCCCCATGAATCCACTAATCACATCACAGTACCTGGGTTCAAACTGGTTATCATCCATTCAAGGTCTAGAAAACCTTTACTCTGATGAGGAGGATGAAAACCTCTCGCTACAGTCGATATCTGAGCAGTCTGTTCTCAGACTGGACCAGAGTGTTGTCTGACCCGTCTCACCATCCTCCACTCTGAGTACGAGCTTCTACCTTCTGGCAGATGATGCAGAGTCCCCCGATGCAAACTGAACCGCTTTAAAAACTAAAGCTGAGTGGGTTGTACAGCAGGGTCATGGTGTTCCTATATGTTTTTATATTTTCTAACCGTTGCAATTTTATCTCTCATGCTATGATTTTGTAGATCTTGAGCAATAAATGTTGTTCTGCATTGATATGTGCCTTTCTGTCTGCATGTGGATGTGATTTTATTGATTCATTCTAGTGGAAGCAGCTGAATGTTTAGCAGCACTTTGAGTCCAAGAAAAATTTCCTCTAGGTGACAGTAAAGTGTATTGTCTCAGATCGTATCACAAGGTAAAGTATCATATTGTATTCGTATCGTAACACCCTTAGAATAGCTACAACACAGAAGAAGAATCACCTTTGCCAGCCTGTTATGGCGATGCCCTGCAGGTTTATACGAGCAGATAAAGAAGCAGCCACCTTCAGCCACTGCAAATGATTATCGACATGTCTCTGTGTGCTGGGCACACAAGTGTAAACGCTGGTGGAGCCTTTAAAGGAGCTGGCCGTCCACAGGTCCGGCATACCAGCACTGCAGTACTTCTCCAGCAGAGACACTGGACAACAAAGAGAATGGACATCACTACAAACACAGCCCTGTGGACGTCCATTTCAAGCTGATAAGCAGTAAAGATGCAATAGTAGATATTGTTTTTTTATGGAGTTCCTACCAGTTTTTTCGACATCTAGATTTGGGGTGTAGTCCCAGAACATTGGCTGGACGAGTCCCACTAGTCCACTTTCTGTAACATGGATACGAAAAGACTCAGTGACACAATCAAATCAAAAGACGGATATATCTCAATAGATGAATCTTTGTAATGTCACAAAAGGCAAATCTCCAAACGGCCTGTTTGAGCACACATCCTCTGAAAAGTGGAGCAGGCAAAAGACGGAGAGAATGAACTTTTATCATAATGGGGGGGGGGGGATTGTTGACAGACTAGGGACACATATTAGTGTTAGAAAACCATGGTAGAGTGCATTTTACATAATATGTGACCTTTAAATACGAAATGTAACTACATGTATTCACTACATACATGTAATTTTGCATCAAGTCATAAATTATGTCAAAATGCTTCTTCCAGGATTTTTCTTGGTAAGTTACCTCAAAACCAAGAACAAGAAATCTTCATATCAAAAACGCTTTAACGATATTACTTCACTACGCATGTACGCGCTGATTAAACGTCAAACTCAAGCAATGTCTTTCTCCTTTTCTGGAAAAGCCCCTACTTTTAGAAACATGAGATATGAGTGATTTCCTGGTTTAGGACGATCAGACCTGTTCCTTCCTTACCTTTCAGCGTGTCCTGACTCATGCCTCTCATCATATCGTCCCACATTATGATAGTCATGTGTGGCCATGCCTTCTTGACGGCTCTGGCCACCTTTGTCACATGACTCAGGAAAAGCTGCTCCACTGTGCGTCCTGGTGAAGCCAACCACACCTTGGACTCCTCCCCCTCACCAAGGATGTACACCTTTAGGAGTTAAAAAAAAACAAGGACATGACAGAATACATGTTGTTTTTGATTTAAAAAAAAACATACTGACTTTTAACAACAGGCCGGTCCTTACCTCATCTGCTCCAATATGCAGCGTTTTCAGCCCCGGGTGCAGCTCCACCACCTGCTTCAGCATCTCCATCACCAACTTCACCCCCTCCTCTTTGTGAGGATTCATGGTTCCCACACAATACGGCACCTCTCTCAGGTCCCACATAGGCCGGTGTTTCAACACAAACTGTGGCAGACGAGGGTAGGTCATTGAAACAGTGAAAACAGACTGCGCACCGTTTTTTGAAAATGTGTGGCGGTAATAAAAAAAAAAAAAAAGGGGGGAACAGGAGGTTTTGGCTCACCTCCATGTGACCAAATGTCTGCACAAGCGGGATGACATCCATGCCCTTCGATTTGGCAAATTCCTGCAGAGACAGCACATCCTCTCGACTGTGAACAGAAAGCAGACATGACTTATTGAACAAAATATCTTACCGCATGACAAAGTAACTAACTCAGTGATATTTATTTTGCATCTCAAACTGCACCTGTAAGCCGGCTGAGTTGTAGACTGCAGCAGTTTCAGTTCCCCCCCATAAGGAAACATATCCTCGTACTCCACTAGCAGGCCATCCACTCCCAGCTCAGAGAAGAACTCGATTAGCTAAGAGGAAATGGGGGGGGGGGATGCAACAACATACATCAGTGGACTGCACACATAATGAATAATACAGTCAAGCAGCCACAGGAGTGTGAAGTGCTGCAGCAGATCAAGAGTGGAAGCTGCTGCAGCATCCTCATACCTGATGGAAGTATCCCAATCTTGGAGGGGCACCTTTCAAATCAAGGTGAACCAGTTTCTTTCCCTGAGGCCAAGGTTTACACGTCATTCTGCCGAACAGACTGCAGGAATAAACACACATTCACATTAGTGACAGCAGGCTGTGTCTGTGTTTTCGTGAATTAATATTAGGCTTACCAGAACTGCGTAGACCAAGTCGGGAATCGGAATCAGCGATTGGATAACAGTAGGGGGACACACCACAGCGAGCAGGATGTTGTGGGGAGGTAGATCACTTGCTGCTCTCTGTTTCTGTCGCGTCCAGTCCTGTCAACGATTAAGCGCAGTGTCTGTGATCGATTAGTTCAGTCTGAAGATTTCAGACATTCCGCATGCAGAGTAAAGATGCCGCCTGTAATGCAATGTAATTAAATGGTTAAATATTACAGCGTTTAGAGTTTACAGTAGAGGAACAAATACGGGATGCGGATGTCGCTGTAGGTTTTTTTTTTTTTTTTGCAGAGTCGAACTCGGATGACGCTGCGTTCTCTTCCGGGGAGCCAATAGGGTTGCAGATACCGCGTGTACCAGGAAGTGGAGTGAGATTCAGATGGTGGTGGTGGTGGTGGTTCACACACACACACACACGAGCAGTCGGAAGGGTTTGTGCGGTATGTTGAGTCAAAGCAGCAATAGCCGTGTATGACAGTGTCCTGTAAATGCGGACTTAGCGGAAGTTTCGGGTTGGAAATGGTGCGAAACAGAAACGCGCAGGGTTCAAACGCCACCGAGATAGAGAAGAAAATCAAAAGGTGAGTGAATGAAAGAGGGAGGGCGTGCAGAGCAAGACAGGTAGAGCACATGCAGATAGAAAGCTTACTGAAAGTAGTGCAGAAATAAAGCTGCTGTAGGTATACACCTGAATAAATCCAGTTGTTAGAGTGAACACAGCATGACCTCATCATCCTGATGTGAAGTTGGAGTTGAGAGGACTCTCTTATTTATTATTTTCACTTTTTTGTGCTTTCATTTGGTGTCTGTGTCTTTATGATGAATGCTTGTTCAATAAATAGCAGATTTTCTTATTAGTTAGTTAGAAAAAACAAAACAAAAACCAGTTGTGAGCAGTCTTCTTGAAATGATTTCAGACCAGGGGGTTGAGTTGCTGAATGGACTCTGAAGAAATGACATTTTATAAGCGAGTTGACAACTTTATTAGTCAGTTATTTTGGTTACGCAGATCATACTAGGCCAAAGGGTGGGCAAACTGGCGGTCCCCCGGGGGTGGGTGGCCCTCAGGTCCTCAGGTCCTCAGGTCGATTGATTGGAGACATGAAGAAAAACATGGCAAAAATCTGCGTTGAAATCATGAAAACCAGAAATATGTCCATAATAATATTTGATCACTGGTATATGTTGAATTAAATTTGAGACATAATTGACTGTAATCGTTTTTTGTATGCTACAATTTGGCCCTCTGGCAGTCAGAATTAAATGAATGTGGCCCTTGCTGTGACCAAAGTTGCCCATCCCTGTACTAGACCTTTCAGTATAACCTTACAGCGATACATCGTCGAACTATAGTCACTGTACATATGGTAGGAGCCTTTATATTTACTTTTAAACATGAATACAACTGAAATTTGATTGTGTCTTACGTTTGTATTGCTTCTGTTACTTTTGCTGGCACTGCAGGATGTCCTGTTAAAAGCACAATGAAGAAAAGTAATTTAGTTAGTTGAGCAGAGGTTTCAGTTCAAAGAGACTTGGATTAAGAGTATTTGGATGATCCTTTTTTTTTTTTTTTGTTGTTTAATAATCTTGATCATTTTTCTGTCTGACAGGGGTAATGCACTGCGGCAGTCGTCTGCATGGAAAGGTTCCAGAGGGCCCGCGGCCTTGCTGCTGGTTGCCGTGTCTCTGTGCGGGGCAGCCGTGTGGTTGTACATCACCTCTTACGACAGTGAGATAACAGAGACGCTGGTCAGCCACAGTGAGTTGGTTACTTCCAATCCCAGAGTCTTCCCCGTCCAGTGCTCCGAAGACTACGAGAACTATAAACGCTATCCGGGTAAGACTCTGGTCCTTCTTCTGTGCTGTCTCGGGCAATAAGGAAACATACCTGGGATGGGATAATTCTCAAGGCTAAAATCAAATGTTATGCCAATTCACTGGCACGTTCTAGATGTTGGACTCGCAACTCCAAAGTCTTGAAAGTTTTAAAAGTCTCACCCAACATTCACGTCTACACTGAAATGCATCAAAGCCTCATTTCTTTAGATGTTGTGTTACTTTCATCAAACTTACAAAACACCTAGTGGGCAGTAACGTTATCTCAGATCCTTTACATGTTTAAAAATATCAATAAGGACAGGTTTGGCCTGGTGGTTTGACATTGCGCCCCATCTGCAGAGGCTACAGTCCAACTTTCCTGCAAGTCAGCCCCCACTCACTTCTACCATCATTCTCTGTCATTCTTACCATCCTGATCAAATATAGGCCAACATCCCCCGCACCCAAAAAAGAAATAAAAATAAAATAAACATACAGAGATAAAAAACAAGTATAATGAAATTAGATTTCAAAAGTTAGATTATTCATAGTGTGGAAAATGGTCACTGTAGAAACATTTACTTTTATATACGATGTTATTGGATAAATCTTTCTGCTACATAATGAACACATTGCGTTATGCTGCTGTAAAAGTATAGTGTTGATCTGACTTCGACTTTAATCTGAAGTACAGGTAATCATCATATGCTTGTAGGCTGAATTTCCCGGCAGAATCAGATGTGTCTTAAAATCCACATTTTATTTGCTCGGCCCTCTTTGAGACTGCAGGGGCATCAAAGGTTAATGATTAGTGAAACCAAAAGTTGACTTAATGGGTAAAAGAAATAGGTTTGTGTGAAAAGTACAATGTTTTCCTCTGAGATGGACTGAAGTGGAAGTATAAAGTACAATAATAAACTATATGAGGTACATGTCTTTTGAATTTGTAATTTAGAACAATATGGAGATGAAAGCTTTTTTAGTTAGTCTACCTTTGTTTTGTTTTTTAAAGATGGTTTTTAGGCCATGTTTGCCTTTTTTAGAGAGGACAGCTGGAGAGAGACAGAAAGTGTTTGTAAGAGGGAGAGTGGGGGATGACATGCAGCATATGGACGAGGCCTGGTTCGAAACCCACGGCCACCCCGTGACGAGGAATACAGGCACACATGGGGCATGAGACACAACCGCCAAGCCACCCGGCGCCCAGGGGCGCTGCTTGTCAACAGGCCAAACTGTGGGGGCTGACAAACTGTGGACTAAAGCAGCAACTCAAAATCTGAAATATTTTGTAATGACAGTAGGAAACCTCCCTAAGGCGGCCCCATCTGACAGCATTCACGCTGGTAAGAGGGCCCCGAATGAACTTTTGCCTCGGGCCACAACAGACTTTAGAACCGTCACTGCCAGCGCCCCGCCCACCTCTTTTGAATCTCATTCAAACCTTTTTTCCCCTGAATCAGCATCAAATTACACCACTAGATGGCACTATAACACAAGCTTACACAAACCAAAATTTGACCGCATCGATCACTCCTTCAGAAGTTCCTCCTCCATTTCTGGCAGAAAGATCTGTTACAACAACACAGCAGAGGCAAACAATGTAAAGAAGTTTATCTCATTTCTATTTGTTCACAGAAAGAGCTTTGAGAATCTGTATATTATTCATCAGATAAATCTATATGACAAATAGTTTTTGATTATTTTCTGGTCATATAAAGTTATTATTTGTCTCCACACAACACGAGGGACTTTATTTGTTTTCATAATGATCTGAAAAAACAAGTGATTGTCTGGTGTTTTTAACTTGGAGCATTCACTATGTCTTATAAGTTGTAGTCAAGACCACACTAACAAAGACCAAGACACCGAGACCGGAGTGCTCCGAGACCGAGACAAGACCAAGACATTTAGGGATCATGACTGAACCAAGACCCAGGCAGACTGAGAGTGAGACAAGACCAAGATCATAAAGATCACTGAAAAATCTTCATCGTGTTTGCAGGGGGCATGTCAGATCTATCTATCACTATCTTAGACCGTAACACCACTTTTATTTGATCACTTAGATTAAGAAAAAGCCAATCTGAATTTCTATTCTTGGATTATTAAGGAAACCCAAATTTCCTTGGGGTTAAAGTGCAAGCTGTAAGGCTGCCTTTAAAAGTACACTATGGGGTTGCGCGCCACATGTACGGAGGCTAAAAGATCGGTTCATCTGAAAAACAAGTTTCAGAGTTTGAAAATGCACATGAACACCTGCTCAATTAGAACACCAACCCTGAATCTCAGGAAAGAATGAGGTGTCCGACTTTCTGACTTAACGTCACATTCGTCATCACATGGGGGGGGCAAACAATGTTTTTGTTTAAAGTTAAGATACTTTTTTATTAATTCACGAATTGCACATCAACTTTTTGCTCAGATATGATTTATAACAGTGACATTCCAAAAATTGTCTTCGTAGCGTCCCCTCTGTTTTTTTTTATGTTGTTCGTATTCAGTCTTTATAAAACAAAAAGCACATGAACACGCTGAAGTAGGAAGAACGACTTCCAAACTGGGAAACCGGGACCATCAGACGAGCTCATGAATGCAGCTAAAGTCCTCATCGCAGCGACCGTGGGTTAGAATCCGACCTCGGCCCTTGGCTGCAGGTCATCCCCCGCTCTCTGCTCTCTTCAGCTGTCCAATCCAATAAAGGCAAACACAACAAGTGCACTGTGTAGTTTTAAGGTACAGCAAAAACTACAGATGAGGCAGAGAAACTTCAGCAAAAACTTGTGGCTGGGTAGCAGATACCTAGGGCCGATCATTTTAGGAATGTGTATCAATCCAGGCTTTTTCCACAGTTTATATATCGAGCAGCACATCTCCAGCAATGTGTAGTGTGACTGCGTCCAGCCTTTCTTGTTATACGTGATGCTATTAGAAAATGATTGGACCATTGTAGGCTGCTGTTGGTGTTTGTGGGCTGTGGCGGTCGTGTGCGCCTCGTGGTGAGACACATCTCTCGCACTGGGCTTCATGCCTCTGTTCTGTTTGAGATGTAGAAATAAATTGGTCGTGCTGCTGCCTTAAGTTGCAACAGCCTTTGAACAAACTTTTCAGCGGACTGCGGTTTGTTCCAGACCTGACACTGCAAAACCAAACCAGCTCCAAAAGACTTGACAAGGCTGTGCTTTTTTATTGGGAACAAACTCTTCATTAATTCTGGCAGCCATATTATTCTTAATGTATGTGTCTCTGTAGGAAATAAAGAAGGGGGAGGATGTGAAGTACGGGAGGCCAAAGGGAGTAGCGGAGGAAGTTACAGAGAGAATCTATTTTTTTTAGATTTTCCTAAACCACAAATACGAATTAATCGGGGGGGAAAAAAATTATTTATTGCTCAGGCCTTCCTTCCAACATGCCGCACATACACAGAGAAAAAAAATCTAAAT